AAAAAAGAATGCTGCCTTAAATCCATTTTTTCCTACCCAGTTCAAGTCAAGTCAATATATTTGATTTTATTTCAAAGTAAAATGAAATAAGGAAAAAGCATCTTCCTGTTAATGTTTTATCAAAGGATAGGCTAGAGATTTCTTTTTATAAAGATCAAGGAGAACGTTGTTAAAAAAAAGAAAGAAAACAAGAGAAATGGCATTTAAAATCTATGGTGAAGAGGTTGTTTGTAAGTGGATTATAGGTTTTTTTTCTGGGTGGTATCTTCCAGAAAATCATATAATGCTGGAATGAGGGGAATTTTCATATCAGGAGGGAGAAATCAGGATTGTATGATTTGAGTAATGTGGAATAGAAAACATAGGCCATTCCTAGATTATGAACAAGTTTCATTCCTAAATCTGTCTTCAAGTTAAATGTATACATAAGCAAGACCAGTGAAGTACAGTTTATATCTAACATCAGTCAAATGTTTTGTCTTTATATGTAGTGTACCTTTCTATGGATTAAAAATTTAAACCCTTCCAGATACCTGAAAAGATTTTAATATAATCTTTAATACAATATTAACAATAATAATTCTCATCTGTATGTGAGGCATGAAAGCTGGACAATTAAAAGGAAGACACCCCACCCCACCCCCAGAAGAACAGATGCCTTTAAATGATGGCGTAGAGAATACTGAAAGGGCTGTGGGCCGTAAGAAGAGCAAACAGATCTGCCTCAGAAGAAGCCCAGTCCGAATGCACCTCAGAAACGAGGATGGTGATACTTCGCCTCCTGTGCTTTGGACATGCTATCAGAAGAGCTCGGTCCCTGGAAAATGACACCATATTTGGTAAAGTGAGAAGGTCAGCAAATAGCAGGAAGGCCTGAATGAGATGGAGTGACACAAAAGCTGTAACGATGGGCTCAAATATGACCGGAATGTTAAGGATGGTGCAGAACCAAGCAGTGTTTTCTTCTGTTGGACACAGGTTGAAGTGCATAGGTTGGGTTGCTATGAGTCATAACCAATTTGATGTCACCCAACAATAACA